ATATATATATATATATATATATATATATATTAACCCATATGTATGTTTATATAAATGGATATATATCTATATGTGTGCGTGTGTGTGTATATATATAATACATATATATATATATATATATATATATATATATATATATATATATATATATATGTATGCTATATATATATATATGTGTGTGGTGTGTGTGTGTGTGTGTGTGTGTGTGTGTGTGTGTGTGTATATATATATATATATATATATATATATATATATATATATATATATATTTGTGTGTATATATGTGTTGTAGACATATATCATATATTATATAATATATGTATGTGTGTGTGTTTGTCAGTATAAATACACAGACGTAATGTGTGCGTGTGTGTGTGTGTTTTTTTTTGAATGCTTCATTAAGAAATCAAAACGAGAATGACTCACTTTTTATAAGTCCCCAAAAGGGCGTCCCTCTCGGCATGTCCTCCCCGGAGACCCACTTCCACTTCCCCTCGCTGCCGGTCTGTCCCGCCCACCCACACATTGTTATTGCGATGGATGCCTGTCGGGAGAACATCGTCAGCCTCATTTATTCGACGAGAGGAGAGAGAGAGAGATAATGTAAGTAATGCATACAAATGTAGAAACATAGACAAAGAGAGAGAGAGTAAGAGACATAGGAGAAGTCGGAGAAAGAAAAGGTCCTTTCGATATACACAGTAATCCTGCTCAGAAATCGCCTTTTGTTGCGTCAGATGATTAATGCTGGGTAACAAGCTTGTCAATATAAAGAATGGCCAATGCTCTTGTATGTATGCAATGCATGCTACGATTATTTACCAATGTAATAATGAAACTGTTCGTTGTACTCGTCGTTATGCGTGGCACTATAATTGTCGTCTGACTCATTACCATCACGTAGCACCCATTGTCATCTTCAAATGATATGAAAAATGTATTTATGAGGACATGAATGAATAATAAGACATGCACTGTAGAGGAAAATGACTCGCCTAAAGCTTTAGCGTATCCAATAGCCTCTGCGAGTGCGTTGGCGTCGCGGAACACGGCCAAGTCTCTCCCAGGTCCTGGCAGAAGGTCCGAGCAGCATCCCAAGTTTTTTGACGTCCTTGGCAAGGTACAGACACGTTCCACCGAACTTTAGGAAGGTGCCTGAGCAGGAGGCTTCTACACAGGGTAAAAATGTTCATATTACTGAATAAACGTATTTAAAACTCTGACTCATAAGTGGTCCGCAAAAAATACATTATACTTTGAATATTTTCTTCTTTTACCTGTCGCCAAGGAGCCTTTGGTTTCTGACAGGATCTCCTTCAGTATTCCTGCAGATTCTCTAAGCTGGCTTTCTTGGCGCAACAAGAGGTCTGTGAGACTCTGTGGCAGCAAAGAAGCATTGAATGTTACTCTGCAAAACATATCCTTCCATATATATGCATGATCACCTATCCAACTTTTGCCTAATTCGTCTAAGCTCTGTAGACTCACCTGGGTACAATTAGGGTGAAGAGGAGGAAAGTGCTGATCGTAAAGACTGCCCACGCCGCCCTCTTCCAGCGCCCACGCCCCTGCCACCGCCCACACAAACGCTGCCACCACACGCATCTGCCAGCATCGAGATGGTTGTCAGTGAATATCATATTAGAATTTATATATACAGAAACAAAATCCGCCGCCATTTTATGCGAATGGTAAAATACATTACATCCAATGACGTGGTATTTTCCACTTTCTATTAGCGTTAGCTCGTTCGTGTTGTAAGGCAAGGAAAAGGCAAATCGCACCTTTTGGGAAAGTGAAAAGCTGGACCTCGTCACACAACACGCGAGGGAGGTCGCTTGCACACTGAAATCGCCACGAGGCTCTCGCTGCTTATATAGGCGGTGTTGCCTTCGCTGTGTAAAGCCTCGGCTCGCCTTCGGTTCTAAGAAGGATATTAAAGTGTTGCCATGCAACAGGATCAGTCTGTTGTTTCTCTGGGAAGAACAAAAAATATACTGTAAGTTTATAGACATACAATCACACACACAGACACATATATATCTATAAACTTATATACATATATATGTATATATGTTATATAAATATGTGTATATTGATACATATGTATGTATATATATGCATATTTATATATACATATAGTTATATATACACACCACACACCATACCCACACACGCACACACAAACACACATACACACACACACACAACACACACACACACACACACACACACACACACACACACACACACACACCACACACACCACACACCACACAGACACACACACACACACACTCACAACCACCATTACCCATATACATTCTAACCGCGCCAACAACATCACTACACACACACATACTATTATATATAATACTCAGTAGTCTAATCATATATATATATCTTACTATTGTATTCAATATTACTAAATTATGGCAATATATAACATATATCAATACCTTATGTCATCATATATATATATAACTATATATATAATATAGATATAATTCCCAGGATATAAGTAGCGGTATCATTACATATCATGTACGTATAATGGTTTCATATACATATCATGGCATATATATACACGAAATGTACGGTATACCCGGTAATATACACTCATAATTACCATATTACTCATATATATATACCCAATATACCTATACACTCAAATCAATAAATATACGATAGATAATATATATGCACTATATAACATATATGATAATTAGATAACTAATAATAATGGTATACCTAAGTAATTATGGGTGGTGTAATCTTACAATACATAATATACAGCATATATTAATGTTATGCTCTGTGGTGATTCTATGTATATTATAAGGATATTAATTTATTATATATATCTATGCATATCATATAATAACTGATAGTTCTGACATCCTCGTTGATACTAAATTACTAGAATTATATATAATGAGGGTAAAATCTAAATAGTAGTCACTGTAACATGTCACTACATCACCACCACATGTGCACACACACCCGTCAAACAGCATAGCACTCAGATGTAAGTCATAGGCAACGCGTCTCGCGGATCTGAGAGGACGTGTTATAAGCGGGTGGCTTCCTGGCTTCGTGGTTTCGATCACAACTACGCACACGTAGTACAGCACACACAGACACAAGTTAACATCGCAGGCAGGGCAGACACATCCATTTATATATTAATATTTAAGTAGGCACTTTTTACTTTATATGTTTTAAATTAAATAGTTGTAGCTTATCTTATGCGAATACCACTTATTAAATTCATTATTATCCTTTTATTATGGTTGTGTCGTATTGTTGTGTGATTGTGTATATTTGTATGATGGATTGTTGTTGATTTTATTTTGTGTGGTTAGTTTGTCGCTGGTGCCGGTCAAGGAGGTTGGTTTAGGGTGCGCTGTTTCGTAGATATGTGTGGGTTGGTTTGCTGGTGTCTTGGTTATGGTGGGCTTGTTGGTAATGTGTGTGTGTGGTTGTGTGTATAATGGTTCTATAATTTTAAAAGGCACTTATGTAACCAAAAACGGTGGGTATGAACTGATTTAACGTGTGGGATTTTGTAGACTGAGCTACTCTTTTAGCCGAAAAAAATATGACCTGGTGAGAAGAACTGGGGAAGATAGTATTGCAGGGAGTAGTGAATACTTATCACTTTATTGACTATATATCTACATCAACTATCATTACATCGCATGATCATATTCTCTCTCATTCTTCACTTCTTTAATTCACCATCTCACTCTTCTCTACTATATTTAGCGAAGAGGAGTAGAGTAGAGTTATGTAAGATGAGAGAGAGAGAGTAAGAGATGATGATGAAGATGGAGAATAGAAGAGAAGAGAGAGAGAGAGAGAGAGAGAGAGAGTAAGGGTAGAGTGAATGGAGGAGTAGAGAGAGTTAGAGGTACTAGAGAGCAGCTTTCTACTTCGACGTTACCTGGGATAAGAAGATGAAAAGTAGACGATCATGAGTGTTATGAAGTATAATAGACGCAGAGAAAGCACGTTAGCATAGAGAAAGGAAAAAAGAGAGGAGAGGAGAGAAGGAGAAGGAGAGCGAAGGAGAGAGGAAGAGAGAGAGAGGAGGAGAGAGGGGAGGAGGAGAGAAGGAGAGAGAAGAGGAGAGAAGAGAAGAGAGACGAGGGAGAGAGAAGAGAGAGAGGAAGAAGAGGGAAAGGAAAGAAGAGGTAGGGGAAGAAACAGAAATGATAAATATAGAGTTAAAAATATATATTATTAATGAGAGGGAGGAAGCACACGAGATGATAAAACATTAAGTTGACAAGAGAATTTATGAAGAGTAGGGGGCGGGCATGTAATAAAAAGACTGTGGACGAGTTGAGAGAGGAAAGGAGGTTCTTCTTTTTTCTCCACGCGTTGGGCAAGGATAATGGTACGATGTGTCGTGCGAAATCGAGAATGGGTGCGAGACTTGAGGGCGTCGTACCTGACTTATTAAAGGCGAAGACTGGGTTGAGAAGAGAAGAAGGTGGAGGGAAGGTTGTAATCAATCCATGGTATGTTAAGTCTCTCTCTGTCTCTTTGCGGGGTATGGTATCGTCTCACTGCCTCTCACCCCTATCTATCCATGTCTCTCTCATTATGTCTTTTGGTGCCCTACTCCGCAAGGTGCCCTATTCTCTTTAGTCTGCAATCGACTCTCTCTCTCTTCTCATCTCTCTCTGGCACTATTGGTCTCTTCTCGTCGTCTCTTCTCTCTCTTCTCTCTAGTGGTAGTTTTTCTATCTGGAAAAAATCACTGCGAATATCGGCAAGTTCTAGACCGCAATCTCTTAGAGTCGTAAATTCCAGATCTTACCATATGGTGGTGTGGTGTGTGTGGTGTGGTGGGTGGTGTCGTCGTGTAGGGGTGTGGTGGTGATGCGGTGCAGTGCGTGTGTGTGGCATGTATCGTGCGCGACTGGGCGCTCGCGGCGGTGTGGTGAGTGGCCGGGCGTTGTAGGGTGTGGTGGTACGCGCGGTGTGGTGTGTACGTGTGTGTGTACGTCGTGGTGGTAGTACGTGTGTGGTGTGGAGTGGGGGGCGCGGGGTGCATCGTTAAAAGTTAGAACTAATTGGTAAGTGGTTTTTGTCGGGATGGTCATCATCATGCGGATGGGAGATTATAATCATATCTACTCAGTATAGTGCAATTGTAGTTGGATGTGTTAGCATATTGAGAGTAGTCATTAGTTTTATCTTGTATTACCAGAAAGATGGGGACGATGACGACAAGCACGAAACGGCTGTTCATCTGCACTTCCTCTCAGCTCTCATCTTGCTACGCTACTACGCCTCCTCTACGACCCTCTATTCTGAGCTACTTTTCTACTGACTGCATGCTATCGTCATTTCTTCTTCTACTCTCTTTCTTGCGTTTCATACTGAACTATGTCTTCTTTATCTATCGACTCTCTCGCTCCCTTATCACTTTTCGTAACTCTCTCTGCATTGACGTAGTTCTACTCACGCTCACGTATTTTATAGACGACTATCTGACTGATGATCGTATGCATGAAGAGCTGCTCGCGTCTTTGTGTCTCTCTGGTCTCTTTCCTCCTCGCTTTAATTTCCTACGGCTCTTTCTCTCTGCTCATCTGTTTCTTTTTGCTTCACTGCTCTTCTCTTCTCGTTCACTGTTCTTTTCTACTTTAGCTCGCTCCTCTCTCTTGTTCTTTTCTTACTCTCTACTTCTACTCAAGCGGGTGCCCTTTTTTCGTTTTTACAACTACTAACGTAGGCATACACGGTCTTACTCTCGAGTTTAGGGCTCGATGAGTATGCGCTCTCGCATCTCTCTCGATCTCTCTAAAGGCTGGCCTCTATCTCTACTCGTCTGCGTCGTTCTCTCTTATCTTTCTTTTCTACTGCTTTGCTCATCTTTCTTTCTCTTCTAGCTCTTTATCTCCTTGCTCGCTTTCTCTATCTTTCTAGAAAATACATATATATAGACATACAATTCTTATATATATAATATGATATATATGATATAAATAAGTTATATAGGTATATAGATATATAATAATATAACATATAGAAATTATATAGTAGATATTGTAATAGTGTAATGGGTAATAGAGGGTATATAAGAATAGTATGGTATATGATGTTATATAAATAATAGAGAGGTAATAGATAGATGGGAAGTGAAGTAGGAAGTATAGAGAGATAGAACACAGCGCAGACACACAACATAGAGAGGTAAATAGAAAGAAAGGGCGAGGAAGGGAGATGAGAAGAGTGGTGAGTTGGATATGGATATGGTAGATAGGTGGAAGTGAGTAGTAAGTGCTTATGTATATAGATTAGTGAATATAGATAATGGGGGAGGGAGTATATAGATATGAAGATAGTAGTAAAGAGTGGAGTAATATAGTTGGGAGTAGTATAGAGTGTGAAGTAGTATATGTGACGTAGTAGTACTGCAATATGAATAAAGGTATATATAAGATGGGTAGAGTAGAAATAAGTGGTGTAGTAGGGAGTATAGTATATGACAGTACGATACAATCTTATATAGATTAAGGCAGATATTATAAGATAAGTTATTAAGCAGGTTATTAGTGATCATCTAATATTGATAGGTTAGTTATAGAAGTATAAGTATATAATATAATATATGTAAAATAGTAAAAAATGGTAAATAAATTTAAAAATTAAATTTTTTTTTTTTTTTTTTTTTATACTATGTAACTATGTATAATGGTATATATATGTGATGTATATTTATGTATATATATAAAGTAAATAAGTATTATATTATACTATATTATATATCATATGCAGATTATAAGTGGATACATAGGGCATATATACATACATAATAAATAGGAGTATAAGAAGAAAGTGTAGATAGGAGATTAGAGTAGAAAAGTAAATAAATATGAAGTGCGTATAGGGGCATACAGTAGTAGCATAGAGAAGTAATGAAAGAGTCTATAGGGTAAAAGGTTATATAGGGAGGGATATATTAGGTAGATATGATGATAATAGTAGTAGCTATATAGGCTAACCATACATACGATAATGTCATAGAAAGAATAAGAAAAGAATAATATGGGAGTGTAGGGTAAGATAGAGATATATGAAGTTATTTATATATAGGTACGTAAGTATGGCATACTACATAATACATATATATATATAGTATAGAGTTATAATAAGTGAGTGTATTAAGGTAAGAGGCATAGTATAATATAGGGTAGCATATCAAATCACAGGTATGCATACGCACGCACACAGGGGTGAGGGAGGGAGAGCACACAAGAGAAAGAACGGACCGCAGCACACACCAACTAGCAG